CATCCCTGAGGGAGATGCCCTTCTATCCCAGAAATATGTACTGTGCACCTATTCTGTGCAATGCTATTAGGCAGTGATGATACCTCTCTAACTTAGGGATCTGATTGTGTAGGTATATATATTTCCTCTCCTGTCACACCTAGTACCCCCTAACACACACACACACACACACACACACACACACACACACACACACACATAAATGCTCATTGAGAGGTACTCTGGCTGAATAATTCATCCCTCTGAAGCTAACTAGAGATAAGCTTCTTTCAATTTAGCCCTGCTGGCCTTTGTATTAGTGACATGGGCTATTGTAGGAGTCACACTGGGAACATTTCCAGCTTGGTGGGACCTGCTGGGGCTTGCATTTCATCACCAGATGCTTCAGGAACCCCAGGTTACCTGCTTGCCACGACAGAATTTTAAATTAGGACTTTAGTGGAGACATTGGGATCATAGTGATGAAAAATAGCATAATCTTTGCCCTCAAAATGATTATAATCTCTTAGTGGGAGATACATGAATATTACCATCTGTATGTGAAGATTGCTCAGGAGAGTTTCATAATCAGCTATATGTGCTTACAGGTTGGTGAGCCTTTGTTTGGAATCTCTGGATTATCTCTAACACCTAATAGGGTGTAGACATGTTTATTGGCACCTTGTTATTAGGACAAAAGACAGCGCCTGCCCCAAGAAAAATGGGTTGGTTTGAAACCACTCCTTGGCACCTATAAAGGATTGGGCTTCTGTAATTGAGTCTGCCTCTAACATGATTTGGTTGACCAAGTAGTCTTGGAAGTGCCAACTTTGGTGAAATAACTTTGTGCTGGTCTTTACAAGTGAGCAGACAGATCTGCGGAGCCATTTCTGACTTTTAGACGTTTCCTTCCCCCTTTCCAGAGGGGGAGGGTGGAGAGAGGTCTCCCACCCCTGGCCATTAGGGGCTACCTTAGGGCAAAAGCATCCAGAAGCAACATATATCCATTCCCCCACAGATCTCTGAACATGTCAGACATCAGAGATCTGAGACTGTTCTCCCAGACTGGGAACTAGCTTGGAGCAGTAGTGGAGTGTTGTGGAGAACATGGAAGCTGCATGTGCTTGTCTGTGTGGTTACAGGGAGTTTATGGACAAAGTTCCAGAACTCTAGTCTCCCAGATAAAAGGGTGTGTGTGTGTGTGTGTGTGTGTGTGTGTGTGTGTGTGTGTGTAGATAGTGTAATTCCAAGAATGTGGCTTTCTAGTCAGAGAAGAAGATTTCTTTGGTAGCCTTATCTTTGGGGATGCCTTAAAAGTAAACCGAAGTTTAAGTCTAAGTAGAAAGAAACGTTCCTGTGTAGCATACCTATTGGAGAAAGATCACGCTTGTCCTTCTTGCCATCAACAACTGAAGATGAAATACTAAAACCCTGACATGGAAAAATAGAAGATACATACTTTTCTTCTCACCAGTACTTAGTCAGTACACGTCTAATGGGAAGGGGGTTGCCTGACTAGTAGCCACAAAGTGTTTGCCTTCTCACAGGAATCCAAATTATAAGGTGACAGTACAAGTCTTGGGACTGTGTAGGACCCTTTGGGAGAGAAGAATTCATTAGAATGTCACTGTTGTCCATTAGCAACCCCAAGTTCAATCCCTTTCTTATTAGAGTCCAAACCATGGAATAGACCTGAGTCCAAAGGGCTCTAGGACCCTGGTAGAAAAGTAGTATCCACCAGAGAAGGAGGAAAATTGTGTTGGTTTTTTATTTTGGGCTGCTCTGAGTCCCTTTATGTGTTTTCTACGTTTGTTTGGGGCCTCCTTTGAGTCCTTTATGACTTATTTTTGTGGGATAAAATAAGCTTCCCTGTACCTGATATGTATTTATTACCTTAGCGCTTGTATAGATATTGAGAATCCTGTTACATTTGTAGCAACATAGACACAAACTCTACAAATGTTATCTCTGCCTAGGTTTTTTTTGGGGGGGGAGGGAATCTTTTTTTTCTTCCTTTAATAAAAAGTATAGAATTTTAATTACTGGCCTTAACTAGAATTCATAATGTGAAATGTAATGCAGTGTTGTGAGCTTCAAGTCAAAAGACTTGGCAAGTGCAAGTTCTTATATTTTCCGGCTTTGTGACCTATGTATAACCCTTTTCTTGAGCCTCCGTTTCCCCATCTATAAAGTGAGTATGGAAACAGTTTCACTATGCTCCTCCCCCAGGACTATTGTGAGGAAAGTACTTTGTAAACTGAAATATACCAGAAAAATGTTAATAATAATAATATAATAATAAATGATAATAATAATATTATCCACCAGAGTCAATGTTTTTCATTAAGCCTCAGGTTTCTGGTATTTTATTTTTGTATAGAAGGAACAAAGTCACCTCTTAGTGATGATTCTGGCTACATTCCAACTTATAGATTTTGTATAAATCTTTTCATTCTTTTATCTCATTTGAGTTACTTGTTGAATAAGATGAGATAGTGAGCTGGCATGCAGAGAGATGGTGGGGATTTGCCAATTACCTTTCCATGGTAGCTTTGAAAATAGGATGTCACCAAAAAAAGTCGTGCAAACTTTTTTCTAATTATTTTAGTTTTTATTACATCAAAACAGTTCAGATATTGATTTTAGTCTATCTAATCAGTTGCCATAATGAAAGTACCCTCCAAAATATTGATTTTTCAAAATAATGCCACCTCCAAATACAAACACACACACACACACACACACACACAGAAATATTCACCACAGGCACAGAAATAATGACACTTAGGGGAAAGATTATGGACAGCTACATGGCATAGTAGATGGAGTACTGGGCCTGGAATGGAAGACTGATCCTCCTGAGTTCAAATCCAGCCTCAGATACTTAGCTGTGTGACCCTGGGCAAGTGACTTAATCCTGTTTGCTTCAGTTTCTTTATCTGTAAAAAGCTGGAGAAGGAAATGGCAAATCATTCCAGTATCTTTACCAAGAAAGATTACAGAAAGACAAATTACAGGGTATGGCTTGACATGGTTGCAATTTAGATGAGGTTCATAATAAAAAACATTTGTACAGTCTTCTCTGTGGTATAGAAGGAGAAGCAGGGCAGTGTAGCAGAAAGAATCCTGAACTTAGAGACTATTCTCTCCTTAGGCCTACTCTCTCCTGGACTATTAAGTAGCCTCCTAATTGGCTTTTCTTTTCTCAGGTCTCTCAGCTCTTCAATCCATTTCCCACACAGTTACCAAATATATATTCATTCCTAAAATGATCTGACCATATGACTCCCTAACTGAAGAAGCTGCAGAGGCACCTTGTTGCCTTTATGACAAAGTACAAACATTTAAAACTCTTCACCATAGGGCCTGAGCCTTTCTTTCCAGGATGATCACACATTACACCTCTTTACACACTGTTGTTTGTTCAGACGTTTCAGTTGTGTCTGATTCTCCATGACCCCATTTGGGATTTTCTTAGCAAAGATTCTGTAGTTATTTGCCATTTCCTTCTCTAGCTCATTTTTACAGATGAAGAACTGAGGCAAAAAAGGTTAAGTGACTTGCCTAGGGTCACACAGCTAGTTAAGGGTCTGAGACCACATTTGAACTAGGTCTTACTGACTCCAGGCCAGGCATTCTATCCACTTCACCACCTAGCTGCTCTTTCCCACACTGTACTCTCTATCAAACTGGAATGGAAGATACAAAACATCTCGTCTCCACGCTCCATACTCTTCTTATTTGCCTCAGAGTAGAGGGGAACAAGTAAACAAGCATTTATTAAGTGCCTCCCGTGTGCCAGGCACTGTGCTAATCACTTTACAAATATTATCTCACTACCCTGTTAGGTAGGTGCTATTATTATCCTCACTTTACAGTTAAGGAAACTGAGGCAAACAGAGGTTAAGTGACTTGCCCATGGTCACACAGCTAGTAAGTGTTTTAGGCTGAATTTGAACTTAGGTCTTCCTAATTTCAGATCCTGCTCTATCCACTGCCCCACCTTGCTGCTTCTTGGAATTCCTGGCTTCCTTTGAGGCTCTGTTCTGTTCACTTGCCTTGTGTTGTCCCTCAAAAGTCCCTCACTCCTTCCCCGTAACCACTGTACACGTGTTGTATTTGTCCTGTGTGTACTTATCCAAGAACAGGTTTCGTTCCCCTGCTAGAATGGAAGTTCCCTAAGAGCAGAGACTGCCTCATTCTCCTAACTCTACACAGCAAGGTGCCTGACTCATGCTGATTGACAGATTGATTGGGGGGATTATAGCACTTACACTGTTTCCCTCACAAGGAAAGCTTTTTTGTTGTTGTTTTTGTTTTGGGTTTGGTTTTTGTTTGTTTGTTTTGGCGAGGTAGTTGGGGTTAAGTGACTTGCCCAGGGTTACACAGCTAGTAAGTATCAATGTCAAGTGTCTGGTCTGACACCGGATTTGAACTCAGGTCCTCCTGACTGCAGGGCGGGTGCTCTATCCACTGCGCCACTTAGCTACCCCCAAGGAAAGCTTTTTGTGAGACAGAATGCATTGTAGAAACAGGAGCTATTTTTGTTGACATTATTATCATTGAATAACTACTAAAAGCTACACAGAAGTACGTGAGACTAACAAGGATTTTTTTTGTTTTGTTTTTTCAAAAGAAGCATTAACATTCCCAAAAATTTGCTTTTCAGTATATGCTATGGGACTTTTAAAGAAGTTAAGTGTTTTAAAGCTTTGGGCTGCTGATAATAGAAGTAATGACTACAAGGATTCCAAAAGTTAAAAGGGGGGGGGATTATAATGCGAACTGCTAATTTTAAATTTTGTTGTGTGCCAACTAAGTTGAGGTTTCAATTTTAAATACAACTTTAAATCACATTTATTAAATATGAGTCCGCTTAATAATGTATTATTGCATTAAAATTTAGTTTCATATAAATTAAAATGTTCATACAGAATAACAAATAACTTCATTTATGAGTACTAATGTAAGAATTGAATTTTAAATTAATGTCAATCTCTATTCTTATCATTTATTGACAGAATATCCAAGGGATCTCTAAGCACCCGGTCCAGATCACTATACACCAATATGAACAAGGTAATAAATTCCCTTCTATTTTGCTTAAAATGAAAGCAACCTTTTCTAAAATCTAACGAAGCTGCCTATTGCTTTTCCATGTTGACCTCTTTATTTTTCAAAAACTTCCTACTCTATGTTAGGGATAACCTAGTGTAGTAAGTAGAAAGAACATTGAATTTGGAGAAAGAAAACCTGGATTGCCAGACTAGCTTTTTGTACTTAGAGAAGTCATTTCCTCTCTGGGGGTCATTTTCTTCATGCACAAAATGAGAGAATTGGACTAAGTGACATGTAAGGTCCTTTCTGACTCTAATGTCCCATGAGTCTTTTTGCATAACTGGGATTGTTAAAATGCATATGATGTTTTGTTGTTGAGTTTTTTAAAATTATCATCCTAGTTTGTAGCTGATCACCGTGGAACTGTTTGAAGTGCTGTATAAAGAAAAGTTAAACAGATATGGTCCCTCCCCTTTGTTAGCTCATATTCTGAAAGCAATGACAGTGAAACAAAGCAAGCAGTCCCAACTCCCTTGCTCTCTCCCACTAACTTCCCAATGAAGAAAAAGATGAAAGACTGAACACCAACAGAGTAACTCTCATTAAAAGTCAGAAAACGGATTTTCAAAAATTTTACAGAAGAATCCCTTTTTTTTTCCTTTTGAAGCAATTCTGCTGTTGCACTGATGATGGTAAAATTGCTATTGGATTATAAATTCAGCTATTAAATTGTAAATTCCCCAAGGTCAGGAACAGTCTTCTTTTGTTTTGGTATCCCGAGCACATACTAACATATTCCAGACTGTATGATCCTGGGCAGGTTACTTAACCATTCAGTGCCCCACACAACTGAGACTATAAATTGAGGAAGAGTTGGTGATTTACACAAGTAGAGGGAGTTTCATAGCCTACACTGACATTGACAAAATCACAGGTTTGGCAGAAAACTAATATCTCCAGTATAGAATACAGGCCCTTACCACTTGAATTGAGTTTAAGAGGAACATTTGGAGCCTGGTTTGTATTTGGACAGGTCTAGTTTTCTTTTCATGGAATCATAAAGATAGAGAGCCAGAAGGACTTGAGAGACCAAATCCAGTCCCCTCATTTTACAAATGTGGACATTGAGGCCTAGAGAAGAGCAGTGAACTGTCCAGAATCACAGGGGTGACAAGTAGGAGAGCTCACATTGGAACTCAAGTTCTCTGACCCTCGGTCCAGAGTTCTTTCCATAACACCACACCAGTGTTCCACTTGCACATGGGTCCCTGCTGAGAAAATGGGATATGATGTTTAGATAATACATGGGACCTCCCTTCATGGAACCTGCAACCTAATAAGGGCATATGGCACAAAACTGTGGTACAAAATAATGCATGAATCTGAGGTCTGAGGGAGGAACAGCTTGTTGTTAAATGGGTACTTCAGGAAAGGCTTCCTGGAGAAGGTGGACCTTGAGTTGGGCTTTGAAGGATGATTAGGAATTCAACAAACGAACTATTGAAGGGAGGGAGGATGTTCCAGTGAGAGGAGGCAGAGATAGAAAAGCATAAGGAATGTTTATAGGACAGAAAGTAGCTTATTTTGGCAATGAGTTCTAGTGCACAGAAAATTGGATGCAGAGTCAAGGGAGACCTGGGTACCAACTTAGAACATTCTCCCTCTTAAAAAGTTGATTATTCTATAGGGGTTAAAGAGATCTACTTCAGAAAGGTCTTAAGGGGCACTAATGGAAAGTGTCTAATAGATACTTATATTTCCTTCCAAGATTCATTTAGATCACACACAAGTGAAACAGAATTTTAGCAGTCTCTATATTTATGTTTTGAAACAGGAATTTTTCTCTGCGATGATCTGATCAAAGTTTTTAAAAAGTTGACCTCTCATGAATAATAATAATGATTTATAAAGCTTTTAAATTTTAACCAAGCCTTTTGTATATCTTATCTCCTTTGATTATTATAATAGTCCTGTGAGGTAGGTACTATTATTATTTCCATTTTACTAATGGGTAAACTGAGGCACAGAGCTGTTAAGTGACTTGCCCAGGATCAGACCTCATGTAGTATTTTGTTTTGTACTTTTCTGGTATATTTATTAAATAATTTTGAGTAGTATAATTATCTGTGTTTTCGGCTTATTGCTCAGCTAAACTATAGGCTCCCTGAGGGCTGAAATTATGTTTTATCTAAACTTGGATTATCTCCATTCCCAAGCACCATGCTCTGAACATAGCCATTCAGTTCCATTGTTTGCATCTGTTGAGCACCAAGTGTCAGATACTGTGCCAGGTCCTGGAGATAAAAAGACAGAAAAAAAAATAATCTCTGCCCTCCATGACCTATATTCGACTAGGAGGAAGCACATCCCCAGATAAGCAAATGCAGAATATATACACAGGAAATAAAAAGGTGATTTTGGAGATGTTCTACAACTAAAGAGAATCCCAAAAAGCCTCCTGACTGTGACGCTTGGGCTGAAACTTGATGGGAGCCAGGAGTTCCAAAAGGCAGAGATGGAGTGAGAAAGAGCGAGGAGAGGAGAAGAAAGGAAAAGAGAGGAAAGAGGAAAAGAGGGAAGGAGAGAAGACAGGAGAGGGAGGGGAGAAGAAGAAGGAGAAGGAAAAAATTCCAGCCTTGGAGATGGCCTATTCAAAGGCAGGCCATGGGAGCTAGAACATGAAGTGGGGGAGGGGGGAAGGAGGGGAGCAGCAAACACACAGTAAATATTCTTGAATTAATTATCCTCCTATTAAAATTTAAATTATGTGATATCCTCCTATTAAAATTTAAATTATGTGAGAGCAAAGTGATATCTTACCTAAGCTTTGTATCTCCCCCAATGAGGAATATATATGGGGCAATTAATGAACGCTTGTTGAATGAATGAGGAGGTAGTAACTTGAAATCATTTTGGTAACTTTCAAAGGACATCGTTGTTGGTCCTGATATAAATGAATGAGTTGCTTTCATTTGTTGGTCCTAATATGAGCAAATGTTTCTTTCCTTTTCTTTGTGCCTTAGTGTATATGTGTGTGTGTGTGTGTGTGTGTGTGTGTGTGTGTGTATATATATATATATATGTATATACACATATACATACATATGTATATATGTATATATACATATATATATATGTGGGGCTACACATAAACACACATATTCCCACATATCTATGATATATATTTTATATATTATATGTACACACATATGTGTGTATGTAGTTTTCAGAGCTTATTAAAACTACTAGAGGGGCAGCTAGAGTGGTGCAGTAGATAGAGGCCTTGGAGTCAGGAGGACCTGAGTTCAAACCCAGCCTGACACTTGAAACTGACTAGCTGTGTGACCCTGGCAAGTCACTTCTCGATTGCCTCATCAAAAACAGAAGAAAAAAAAACACTAGAGCCCCATGGTGGTCATGGCTGGCTGTGGTAAACCGTAGAATCTTTATGACAAAGGAGTTGGAGTGGATTATCTCCAAGGTCCCTCCCATCTCTGACATTCATTTATTCTCAGCTTTTCTGAAATAACTAATTGTTAGACATTGATTCTATGCCTGGAATGATTGAAAGATTATTTTGTTCACTTTCAAAAGAAAATTTTCAGTTAGCTAATTTAATTCAAGAAAAATATATTCAGTGCCTACTGTATGCAAGGCGCTGTGGTGCCTAGGCAATGGGAATACAAAAATAATTTTTCCCTGAGAAATTTCATATGGATTGGAAATTTGAATAGTCATGTTATTTTGGAGAATGTGAGGATTATAAGATTTAGAATTGAATAGGGTCTTAAAGATACAACTCATTATTTTTGTAGATTCAAACCATTTAACAAGAATTTTTTTTAAGGAGCTACTATATAAATTACTGTGCTTGATACTTATTAAGCACCTACTATGTAAGAAGTACATAATAGGCATGAAGGATATAAAAACGAAATGAAAGAATCCCTGTCTTCACATAGTTTTCATGATATTGAGGGAAATAGCACACACATACATAACAAAATGCAAAGTATGCTTTAAAAAAATACAAGATGATTTCTGGTAGAAAATGCCTAGCAACTGGGAAAATCAGGATTGGCTTTGTGTAGGAGGTGGGATGTGAGCTGAGCTGGAGGATTCTACAAAGTATTGGTGAGGGGACAGCCTATGCAAAACAATGGGGATGGGAGAAAGAAGCTCCAGCATGAGGTGCAGCAGATCAGCCAGAGTGTGCAGTGTGAAAAGGGTGGTACTGTGTAGTAAGCTTGGAAAGGTCAGCTGACACTGGGTTGTAAAAGACTTTAAAGGCCAGAGTTCACATTCTCTGCAGAAAAGCAAGTGGAAACTGAGGCTCAGGAAAATGCACTGCCTTGTCTAAGGCCCCACGAGTGGCCCTGCGTCATTGCTGGCAGAGGAAGGGAAGGGCTCCAATGCTAGGCTTCCTCACTCCACATGACAAGTTCTTGCTGTTACCTCAGCGTACTATATAAAGGATATCCTTGCTCCAGAGCAGTTAGAGGCAGAAAACTAGGCTCTATGTTCATTGTAGAATAATGTTAGCATAATTGTATACCTATCAAAGATTGCTGTGATTTAGATATACTTCCCAATTGTATATTTTCTTCAGGGAAAGAAGATGAAAAAACAACTGTTTCTCCCAGAGCAATGTTTATATCTTCCAAAGGCTATACCTTCCTAGCAGCAGGTACTTTATGACCATTTCTTTTAGTAAACAATATAAAGAAAATTTGTTGGAAGCTATTTTTCATTGGATGTGTTCTTAAAATTTTATATAAAAATCAAATGCTTGTAAATATAATCATAACTTAAATGAATAAAAGAGCTTGATTGCTTAAAAAAAAAACACGAAGATTGAACAGAACCAGAGAATGTACACAGTAACAGCAATATTGTTCAACAAAGAATTGTGAATGACTTAGCTGTTCTCAGCAATACAGTGATCCAAGATTATCCCAAAGGATTAATGATGAAGCATACTATCCGCCTCCAGGGAAAGAACTGATATTGATTGAATACAAACTATTTTTCACTTTTAAAAAATTTTGCTTTTATTTTTCTTCTTCTACAAAATGACTAATGTAGAAATGTTTTACATAATTGCAAAGAAAAAAAAACCAGATCATGGTAAATCTTGTGAAGTGATCATGTAATATATTTTCTGTCCTTGCCCCTCATAGAGATCAGAGTTACTGCCATGTTGAGGTTGAAATTTCCCCATGGAGCAGGCTGATATTGTCCATATTATGTAAAATGGAAAGTCCATGGCCCCAAATTGTTCATTTGGTGAGATATCAGAAGTATTTGTTGTCTAGAGTAGGACTTCAATTTTGAAAAAGATATGGGATGCTCAGCTCAATTGAACTGGAGCCAGGGATAAGGTTCTGGATCAAGAGGATCAGGAGGTTTAGAACTAGAAGGGGACTAAGACACCACCAACCAATCCATTTTAGAGAAGAGGAAATTAACATGCAGGGAGTCACAGTGGCTTGGGCTTGCCCAAGGTCATATAACTAGTTCATCCCAAAGACGGTGTTCTAGCTGAGGTCCTCTGACTCTTGCACCCAAGTGTGAGTCAGTGCCAGCAGAACAATATCATTTGAGAGGGAGGTAAAAGGATATTTTAGTTTAGAGTCATCTGGAAGTTTGAAAGAGCTGGAGAATGAGGAAGGTCCAAGATTAAAACATATTCATTGGGCAAGTGTGAGTTGTTATACAGACACTCCTAAGATCAGGTTTCTATCCTAGGCTCCCCTAAATAAAGTTCAGCTAGACAACTCCCTGTTCCTGTTAGTATTACCCTTGGGAAAGTGACCATCCCTAAGTCATGGCACACAGCAGAAGCATTCTTTTGTACAACAAATAATCATCATATAATTTCTACTCTTTGTGAATCTGGATTATTGCTATAAGTGAAACATGGATCCTTTTGTGGAATGACAGTCTTTGGCTATTCAGTTCTGTTCAGCTATTTGACAAATGTTTCTTAAATACCACGGGAGGAGAGAGAAATCAAGCCTTCCTCCTGCCTTCAAAGGAGGTAACTTAAAGTCTCATGTGGGGAATATAACACATACACAAGCAAATAAAATATAAAGTAGAATGTGATTTTTGAACTATTGGAAAGAAGTTGGGACAAACTTGAAGTCAGGAGGCCTTAGTTCAGATCCTGCCTGTGGGATTTAGTTGTTGTTTATGTGAGGCTTTCTTGGTTTTTTCTTTTACTTTTCTATAGATTAGGGGCCATAATTCTTTTATTGCTAGCTTCATAGGGTTGTGAGAAAAATGTTTTATAACCCATCAAGTAGTATCTCGAAGTATATGTACAAAAGTGGTCCAAATTAAGTCCTCTGCCCTTAGGAAGGAGGGATCATTTCCAATGGAAAGGAATATGGAAAGCTTCCTGAAGGAGGTAGCATTTGAGCTGGGACTTGAAGGATAATTAGAATTTCGACAGGAGGGAAGGGCACGCCAGTCATGAAGAATTGTGTGAGCCAAGGCATGAAGGAAAAGTGAGAGATGTGTAGGATGGAAAACCTGTGCTTCAGTTTGACTGGAAGGCAGATAATAAATTTCCAAGATCCTTCCAGTTCTAAAAACTCAGTCAATCCATTTATACAATACCATTTTTTGATTCGGGAAATACTTAAACCCTTCTAGTTGCCCTATATGAACGCTCAACAACAATTTCAGGATCTAAAATTTTTAATTAAAATGTACCAGTGGCCCCACCTGGCCTTATAGAAAGACCTGTGAACGTGAAAGAGAGCTAGACACCCTCTAAGGTTCTCAGAACTAGAGGCGACCACCTGAGCAGCAGTGCCATCTATAATGTCCCGGACATGTTCTACAAGTCATTGTCCAGACTTTGCTGGAAGAGTTCGCTCAGTGAGAACCCCTGTTCCTCTCTGAGAGAACTCCAGTCCTTAGGAATAGTTTGAAATCTGTATCTCTGAAACTGCTCCCTGTTCCTGCCTTGCACCCAGTTGCTCCTAGTTTTGCCTTCTAGGGTCAAATAGAACAAATGTAATTTCTTTCCTACATGTTAAATATAAAGAGTTCATCTCTATCATGTCCCAGATAACACATATGAAGAGAACAGCTCCCTCTTTCTTTCCTCATAAGAAGTGTCTGGGTTTGTGTCATAAGAATGAGGGGAAGTGATTAGAAAATATTGTTATTGTCGTTGTTGTCTGATCCCATGGACCATAGCATGTCAGGCCCTTCTAGCCTCTACTATCTCTTGTCCAAGCACATGTTTATTGTTTCTGTTTTCATGACACTATCTATCCATCTCATCCTCTGCCATCTTCTTCTCCTTTTGCCTTCAATCTTTCCCAACATCAGGATCTTTTCCAATGAGACCTGTCTTCTCATTATGTGGCCAAAGTATTTTAAACTTCATCTTCAGGATTAGAAAATGGGCTGTCTTCAGTTCCTTCAACCTCCTGTCCCAGCACTAGTTCCAACTCTGAATATTCCATTTTAGTAATTGTTGTCCCTGGGGAGAAGTAAAAGTCACAGTGGAGGGGAAGATACGTTTGGCAACATGAGGGCTGCCACAATTATGAAAAAGCCATGAATATTTTTGTCCTCCCTGAACAAAGAAACCTTCTGAGATTCCCCTTGCTCAAAGTGTTCTTTCTCTTCTTGGATTTTCTAGAGCACATTGTAGCTCTCCTTTCCTTTTATGACCTTCTACTTTGAATAATATTTTTCTGTGTACATGTCATATTCACCTCCCCCTGCCCAGTAGGCTGTTTTCTCCTTGAGGGCAGGAACTGTACCTTGTCACACTACCATTGCATCTCCCCCTCTCCTCTCTATCCCCTCCCTTGGCTTTCCTCCTACTGCTCTCTCCCAGAGGTTCAATTCCCTATGGCTCTTTTTATCCTGTTTTTACCTCACCTATAATGCCAGAATCTCTTTCTCCTCTTCCCCTCTCAGACAGCCATCTATTCTAACAAAGGAGAAAAAGAAATCTAGTAATCACAGCTAACCAAAATATTGAAAAAGTCTGACATTATATGCAAAGTTGACACGTATGGGCTCCTATCTCTTCAGAAAAACAGGGGAAGTATCCTCTCATGTGGACCTTCTAAGCCTTCTGCTAATTCTGCCACGTGAAATCCACTGTGCTTTTCAAAATGACTCAAACATTCCAAGGTGACCATACTCCTAGATTCTTTCTTGACTTCTATCCTCTTAGTAACTGCCTATCTTTTAGCAGCGTAGAAACATCCTAGGACGTATTTTCTCATCCCTGTACTGTAGCTTCACACCAGATGAACCTTGTGCTCACCCCCCCTTGCCCCAAGAAGAAACATTCCTGGTTAGTGTTCTGCTCACTGTATGCTTGTTGATTGATTGGTTTCTCTTGGTGATTGGCTATAAGAAGGAAAGGCAAAAGCAAGAGAGGAAAATGATTTGGATTAAAGATTTCTGTCTGTATTAGTTGAAAGACTGAGAAAATGGCAAGCAAGAAGAGGAGTCTGCAGGAATCAGTGTGGGGGATTTAGCAGTAAGCCTAAAAGGGAGCACAGCTTGCAAAAGTATATAGGAGGAAACAGTAGGCGGCAAATTTGTGTAGCTCTGTTCCCTCAGTGCAGACCCCATGGTGAAGGGTATGGCCGCCATTCAGCCTGGCCAAAGAATGTCAAGGCCAGTTTGTCTTCATTTCCTTTGGTCTAACCCAAACAAGGTCGACTAAAGTAGTTTCTCTGTGTCACATACTATTTTTCTCCTTCTCCTAATGTCTTCCCAATACTTTTGCATTTCAGGTCAGCCCTAAGTGAGAATTGTCAGGTTGGTAGAGTTGGTCTTTGGGAGCCTTCCATTTTTTTTTCTCTCCCAGCTCCCATTTGGGAACCACACCCATCAGTCATTTAATAATATATATTTACTGAGCACCTGTAAGTGCAAGTGCCCTCACACAGTTATGCTGCCCCTGGACAATGCTTTCTGCTCTGGATCCGTCATGACTCGTCTCCTGCTCTATCTTGCTTTCCTGTCATCTAAACTTCCCTAAATAAACTTTAGAAGTACCATATTCATAAAAGTATTACCTACCACTCAGTGGGACGACCAACAAACCAATCTGATGAATAAAGTCATGCTGAGCTGCCCATGACCAAGAAAAGAGCACCTGGTTTAGAGTTAGAAGGGCTCTGATTCTTAATACCTGAATCACCTGGACAAGTCACTGATTTTCCTTAGGCTTAAGTTTTGATATGTGTAAAATGAGTGAAGAAGACTAGAGAATTTCTAAGGTCCAGTTCAGTTCTAAATCCTCTGACATTTTTAATGTTTGCATTTTATGGGGTGCATATGGTGCCCTAACCCAAAGACGTGAGGAATGTGGGAATTTTGGAAACTACATAGTAGTGGAGTGGCATGTGAGGCATGACGGATATAGAGCTGGCCTCAAAGCCAGGAAGACTGGGGCTAAAGTTCTGCCTCTAACACAAGCTGTTTGTGTCATCAAGAAAGAGATGCTCTGAGAGCGATGGCACCAAGATAATGACCAGGCTGCATGGAAGATAATGGATGTCCCAATAATGTCCCCCCCAATAAAGAGGGGAAGTGATGCAAGAGGCATGGATGTGAGGCAGTTACTTATTTCCTCCGTTATTACCCCCCTCATCCCACCCCCTCCTTGCTCTACATATTCTCTGATCCAGTAATATCGGCACACCTGGTGTTCCTAGAACAAGTTACTCCATCTCTCCTGACTCCAGGCATTTTCCCTAGTTGTCCACCATGCATGGAATGTTCTCTCTCCTCATCTTCAATTCCTGGCTTCTCTGGCTTACTTTTAAATTCAACTAATTCTCTATAAATTAGGAAAATATCTTCATGAGTTGCCCTGGCCCTCAAGAACAACAACAGCAACAACAGTTTGAACACCCCTATTGTGTCCCTGCTAAATCTTCTCTAATCTAAACATTTCCAGTTCCTTCAATGTATTTTCTAGTCCTCTTACTGTCCTGGTCACCTTCTAGATACCTTCCAGTTTGTCCGTATCCTTGCTAAAAATGGTTATCCCAACTTCAAATGTGATGTGCCCAGGCTAGAAGACAGTCATCTCTCCAGACACTCCATTCTGTTTCTTATAATGCAGCCTAAGACCAGGTGGGCTTTCAGTCAATCAGTCAGTCAATAAACATTTATTTAGTGCTTCCTCTGTGTCACCGTGCTAAGCATTGCAGATACACAAAGAGGCAAAAGACAGTTCCTTTGCTCTAGAAACTCACAACCTAATGAAAGAGACAACAAGCAAACACTTATATACAAAAAAAAGCAACATGCAGGATAAATAGGAAATATTTAACAAAGGGAAGACATTGAAAGCCTCTTTTTAAAAAACGTGAATTGTAGTTATTTAAAACTGTCATAATTTGGCCGAGAGAGTTAAGTAAGGGGGTCAATGCTGCAGTAATGGGCGAAACAGGAATAGAGAAGAAAACTAAAGGGGCTGGTTAAAAGACTGAATTAAAAGGAGGACTGTGTTCATCAGACTTTTCACAGATTGAATTGCGCATCCTTGCCCACCTCTCTTGTGATCCAGAACTTCTGAAGCTTTTCCAGGAACCAGAGAGTCTTGATGTGTTTATGAGCCTGACTTCTCAGTGGTAAGAGACTATCAGATGTGTGCGATGCTAATGTGATTAAAACGGCCTTTAGTTCTTCCACATGTGTTTTAAGAAAGAATTAAATTGTCTACAGTAGTTAATCATTTCTGCCAGCTTGTCACCTTTTGAAAAGAGTGGATAAATGATGTGTCAGAGGGATTTCATAATCATGAAAAAACTGATATCATCAACATTTATCTTTCACTGTAGTAAAAGATGAACCACTAGAGACTATTAGGGAAATAGAAAGTGTGGTAATAATGTTTGACATTAACTGCATGTTCTTATCCCTCTGTCCCCAGCCTAAAAGAGGCACCAAAGAGTAAGCTTGATCCTCAAACTTTCCTGGAAATGCAGTTTCTTTGTGATAGGAAAAAAAAGATTGAAGCTACAGTAAACACTAAGTAAATGATGGAGAATAACACTAGAATTTGGATTTTCCTAATAATAACTGACAGTTATATAGTACCTTAAGGCTAAATAAATTCCTTTACACACATTAATTCATTTGATCCTTATACCTCTATGAAATGGGGACTATTATTATCCCCATTTTTACAGTTAAGGAAACTGAGACTGAGAATGGGTAAGGGACTTGCCCAGAGTCACACAACTAATATATATCTGAAGGAGTATTGGAGTCTGTCTTCCTGATTCAATGGCTAGTGCTCTTAATGTTGATTAAGGACTGGAAAAAATAAAAATTATGTAACCTACTTTTAAATAAAGAATTCAGGGAGCGTATTCTCAAATGAAGTTAACAGAGATGTCAAGTAAATTACTATGTTTTGACTGAAAAAGAAATTTAAGAAAAACATACCAATGAACATTTTTACAGGAGCATGCTAGATAGCCTAGAAAGAAAGTGGGAAGTTCATACAATATAGCCCAAATTGGCTGGGTAGAATCTTCTTTCTGCAGGAACACTGTCAGTTATGCTTGTGTTGGTTAACACTGAGCCCACCCATTGGGTCTAAGTAATTCATGATAAGGCTAAATCAGGTCTAGGAAGTGTTTACTTAGTGCAGAGTGAAATGGAAAGTTGGCCATTGTACAAATAACTTAGATGGACAGCTAAACCACCTCCAGTCAGCCTCCCTAGTCAGTTGGAGACCTGAATGATCTGGCTTGCTTTGTCTGCATCAAGTTGGTTTCAAGAGTGCCAAATCTCCATTTCTTCTGGGCAAGCCCAGCCCTAATGTCTTCATTGTATTAGGTGGGAAAAGTGGAGTCTTGCAGCTTTTAATATGATATATGATTGACAGGCTTTCAGAAAATACCACCAGAAAAAGCATATCACTAAACAGAAAGTAAGCTTTTCAGCCTATGTTTATGGAAGCGTAATGGGCAGTTGAAATAATCAGTCTGCAGAGAGAGCAAAAAGAAAACCAGAAATAAAATGAAAGAAGAAGTAGGCAAACTTTACAAGCATAGAAAGAATTATTTTAAGTATTTGCTGCATTAGAGAGCTCCAAGTTTTCGAACACATCTTTTATTAATTAGATAGGGAGGTATTGATCCACTGACTAGATTGTAAGCTCCTTGAGGGGAGGCAGAATCTGTGTCTCATTTCTCTCTGCATTATCCTAGAGCCCAGCTCGGGCCCTATATATAGCTGACACTTAATTAGTTTTTGTTGAAATATTTTATGTTTTTACTCTATAAACTTAACATCATCTAAAAGCATTAATGGAGCTGCCTCTTGGAAATTTCTCTTTGTACTATGTGTATGAGTATTTTCATTCCCAGGTCTTCAAATATTTTGTTTTGTTCGGACAGTATGTGCACATCTTTTGACAGCTACCAACCTATTATAGCTGTTGCTAATAAAGTATTACTTTAAAATATTTTCGTCAGACAATACAAGTATCTGCAAAAGGGCTACTTCAGACTCTTACTAAGTTGCTCACTCCTAAAAAAAATTTGGAGCATTCACACTAGAGATAGGACCTCTTGGCCTCATTTTTCCCCTTGTGTAATAAAAATTGCTCAAATTTCTATAGCACTTTAAAGTTTATAATATACATACCTTAAAAGAACTCTCTGAAGTTGGTAACGTAACTGTTACATTCATTTGTGTGTATGTGAGATAAGAAGTTCAGAGAGATTAAGCAACTTGCCCAGGGTCACACAATATTAAGTTTTAGAACTGGGACTTGAACCCACATCTCTTGACTCTATATGCAATACCACACTACCTCTCGAAAAACAAAAGAAATAAGAATGGTAATATAAATCCTTATAGGTTTTAGAGCTGGAAGGAGCTTCAGTTATCCTCTATTCCACTTCATAGATGAAGCAACTGAGGACCTATAGGAGGTTAAGTAATTCGTCCAAGGTAACAGATAGGTAGCAGAATTAGGACTAAACTCAGTTCTTCTTGCTAATCTTAAGTGTAGTGATCTTTTCACTGTGCTACACTTTCTTTGATGAACTACAGAAAGAAAAGACCAATTTATCTTTGGATAGTGGCAGCAGGGTAATTCCCACTCAGAAGAAAGAATCTACAGTGTGTGATACTATGTGAATAATGAGCCATTGAGGAAGTGATTGTTACCAGTGGCAAAGTAGAACAGCAGATGGAGGGTAGGGAACTCAAGGGGTAGGGAAGACTAGCTGGATCAAAAAGAATCTCCTAAAATAGTTGTTTCCTAGAGATGCCTCATTGTTTAGCTTTGAGAATAAAAAGAAAGAAGTACTATAACAAAGAAAAAGTGGGGAAACAGGGAGTAATCCAGTCTGGCTGGAATATAGGTTAGTAGCTTAGTCTTCAACAAGCATTTTTTAAAATTTATTTTTTTTAATTTATCAACAATCACTTCCATAAACTTTTGAGTTTTAAATTTTTCTCCCCTTCCCTCTCCTCCTCCCTCCCCAAGATGGCTCACAATCCTGATATAGGCTATACATATACATTCCTGTTAAACATATTTTCACATTAGTGATGTTGTAAGAATTAGAACCAATAGGAGGAACCACCAGAAAGAGGAAACAAAACACAACAGAAGAAAACAAATAGCAAATAGTGTGCTTCTATCTGCATTCAAACTCCATAATTCTTTCTTTGGATCAACAGGCGTTTCTTAAGTACTGCCTATGTTCCAGGTCGTGTGCTAAGTGCTAGGGATACAAAAAGAGGCAAAAGTCAGTTGCTGCCCTCAAGGAGCTCACAGTCTAATGGGCGAGACAATGTGAAAACAACTATGTGTTGGCCTCCTGCTCCATCCCACTATCCCCATCCACTGTAAAAGCTCTTTCGTGCCTCTTTTATGTGAGATATTTTTCTCCATTCTGTCTCTCCCTTCCCCCTTCTCCCAGTGCATCTGTCTGGAATCTTAAGATAATATTGACATATTCATGGGAGATATCACTTTGTTTTTCAAGCCCTGTTTTTCTCTGAGTTACATGCTATAAACAAGTCAACAAACAGTTATAGTGGTATGTTGTATTCTTTCAGCCAATGGTATAACAGCAGAGTGTCTAGAACATAGGCACTTAATAAACGCTTATTGAATTGTAAAGGCAACATAGAAATTCATTTATGAAAAGTTTCCTATTCCTTTCTCACATTTCAAGGATAACCTCAATACAGATATGGATCATGGTTATGTGGTTATGACCATTTTAAGGAGATTTTTAAAGCAAGCATATGGATTGTAAATGCCCTCTCAATTACCTGTTAGAGGTATAATAATAATACATCCATGATTTTTTTCCAGTTGTTCGGTATCTTTCCCTTTCAGATAACCTGAAAATCAATACCATAATGTTTTCTAAATTGTATCTCTTCCATCATGGATTCCTTCTTCTAAGTATACTTGGTCTGATCTGCCTGTTCTGTCTTTGTCTTCTTTAACACCAGCTCCATTTTCTTGTATAGAGGGACTGTGGTGTTAAAATCTAAATGTGGCTGGTTCACTGTTATCAATGATAAAAATAGTTTGTTATAGGAATGCTGATAGATCTATTCTATTTCTGTCTGTTGCTTTTGTTCCAGTTTCATTTATTTTAAAAAAAAAGCCATGGATAATCTGGCTTAATTAGATCCTACCCCAAACTTGGCAAACTTTGTTAACCTTAAAGCATTATGCAAATGTGAGTTTTATTAGCCTTATTATATGCAAATAATAATTTAAAATTAATAATTTCAGGCTAAATTAATAATATACCGAAAACTCCCCTGTAATCTCCATTGTGAACAAATAATTTAAAGATCATCACTTTGATGAATTTGTTATTGCATTCCTGTGGTGTAGATCACCATTTTTGCATCACTTCTTATCTTGTGTGATTCTTATTCATGCTTTCCCATAAGCTCTCTATAAAGGACCTATTCAATGGGGGCTAAAGGCTTTCCTCTTATTCTTTTAGCATCTTGTAATAGTTGTCATTTTATTCCCTTTTTTATCTACCTGTTGTCCTTAATTCTCGTTTCGCGATTGGTCTACCTCCTTCTCTGATCATAAACATACCCAATTAGGGTTTTGTGCTGCTTTTCCCATGTACATAATCATTGCTAACATGATATGGCTATTATCCTTTGTGTTGTCATTTTAATTCTGCCAAACCTATGATGTCCCATACAACAGCACCAGGAGAAATATCAGCTCTGGGTCCAGTTCATTACCCAGTTTCAGTGTTTGTCTGAGATACACATACTGATGGATTAATTTGATGGGTATCAAATACCACATTGCCTGGGCAATATATTTTTCATCCACTTTGGTTTTTCCTTATAAATTATTAGAACAGTTACTTTAGAATAAATGAATGGATGAATAAATGGGTGAAGCATTCATTAAGCAATTACTATGTGCTAAGCACTGGACATACAAATAGAAAAGTAAGACAGTCCCTGCTCTCCAGGAGCTCACATTCTAATGGAAGAGAAAACATGTGTGAAGATTTCAGCTGCCAGTCAGATGGAATGCACCTTAGGGTGCAAAGGAGATGGTAGCATCACTTCTTTAATGTCATTTCCATTAATAAAATTATATCAG